CCTCCTCCTCTTCCCAAGTTTCACTTTGTTCTCCGTCCACTTTCAAGGGGACCCCCAGCCCGTGTGGGAGGCCACATCTCCAGTGTTGTGACGGGATCAAGACCTCACTCCTGACTTAGGCAGCTCTTGAAGGCACTGAAAAGCCAGATGTGGATGGTGAGGACACTGCCAGCATCACCACGTTCCCAGAGGGACAGTGATAGCCCAGCTGTGGCTGGTGAGGACACTGCCAGCGTCGCCAAGTTCCCTGAAGAACAGTGTTAGCCCAGCTGTGGCTGGTGGTCATAGTGCCAGCATCACCAAGTTCCCAGAGGGACAGTGATAGCCCAGCTTAGCAGCACTTTCCTCTGAGATTCACTTTTCTGTTCCTTCATTGTTTATTTCTCTCTCCCCTTCCATTCTTTCTCCCTCCCTCTTTCCCTTCCCACTTTCCTTCTTCTTTGTCTTTTTTTTTTTAGGTTGGTCTTGAACTCATCCACTTCCGACCTTCCAAGTGCTGGGTTGATGGGAATTCACCACAGCAGCCAGTTTCTGGAAAGCAGGCTTCCTCTCTTTCTTACGGGGTTGGGGGAGGTAAGTAATACTAAAGGCCTTTGAAAAGCCATATGAAAGCCTAGACATCATGTGCTGCCGTGAAGTCCCCAGTACCAGGAATGGGGTACATCTTTTTGAGCCATTGGCCAAGGGGTTCTGCCTATCCCCCCAAACATTGCAGATTGTTGCCAATGCCGCTGGTTGCCCTCCACAACGTGACGGTAAGGCCCTCTTGCCGAGGACACCACATCTATGGCATAGATCTAGCTGGTCCTCACCCCTCCTGGCAGGTTACCAGAGGAGAAAAGCAAACATCCGTCTCACCCAGCTACAAAGCCTGTGGAAAGCTATTGTGAGGACCTGCCCCAAGATGTGCCCACTGGTGCCATAGTGTCATGGATTTTAGGGGAGTAGCCAAGTGTTTTGTTTGTTTGTTTGTTTGTTTTTATTTTGCTTTTTCAAGACAGGGTTTCTCCTTCTGGCCTTATCTGTCCTTGGATAGCCTGGGACTCACTCTGCAGACCAAGCTGGCCTGGAACTCACAGAGATCCGCCTGCCTCTTTCTCCCAAGTGCTGGGATTACAGGCTTGCACCACCATCACCCAGCAACCAAGCACTTTTTGACTGGATTTAAGACCCACTGCATGAGATGGAGCCCACACCTGTACTGTAAGTGAGGTCAAGAGCCTGACTATGTAAGTCCTACAGGAAAACCTATGGCTCTTATTCTGCTAAGTGAACAAACACTAAAACCACAATGATACAGTGCTACACCCATAGATCAGCGCCTCCCTCAGCCCTCAACAGAGAAGCTGCTTCTTGCAGTAGATGGCAGTTAACACAGAGACCCACAACTAGACAATGCACAGAGAGGGAGAGACTTCGGAGTGCTTGACCCTAAAAAGGATGTCTTTCTCAGACCTGCCCCCTCAGTTCAGGAATCTATGCAGATGAGGAGCTAGAAAGATGGTAGGAGCCAGGGTTGGGGGGTGACTTTTAAATCAGCGCATTTTCCAGACACATCGTGGCACATGTAAATACGAACTCACAGAAGCTTCAGCGGCGTGTACAAGACTTGCATAAGGTCAAGACAGACAAAATTCTGGCACCACGGAAGGGAACTGAGCACAGAGTCCCAACCCTAGCCAAGAAGCTGTTTGCAAACTATGGCTTCCCGGAGAGGGAAAATCCATTTTTTTCAGAGCATTGCCACTGGGTACATCAATCACGCTCCAAGGCAGGCCGTGTGCTCAAGGGTAGTTGGCCAGCACAGGCCAGACTCCATGTTTTTAGTGGCTTTTTTTCTTTTTCAAAAGAGAAGAATTGAGTGGGTAGGGAGGTGGGGAAGACCTAGGAGGAGGTGGGGATGGGAAAGAATATGATAAAATTACACTGAATGAAATTCTCAAATAAATAAATAAATAATAAGTTTTTTTATCTAGCATACAAAATATTGGTTTTCTTTCTGACATTTTGTACATATATATGTGCTGTGGGATGGTCTGTATGTCAAGTTGCTCTGATTGGTCAATAAATAAAACACTGATTGGCCAGTGGCCAGGCAGGAAGTATAGGCCGGACTAACAGAGAGGAGAATTGAGAGAACAGGAAGGCTGAGTCAGAGAGACACTGCCAGCTGCCGCCATGACAAGCAGCATGTGAAGATGCCGGTAAGCCACAAGCCATGTGGCAAGGTATAGATTTATAAAAATGGATTAATTTAAGATATAAGAACAGTTAGCAAGAAGCCTGCCATGGCCATACAGTTTGTAAGCAATATAAGTCTCTGTGTTTACTTAGTTGGATCTGAGCGGCTGTGAGACTGGTGGGTGACAGAGATTTGTCCTGACTGTGGGCCAGGCAGTAAAACTCAAGCTACATAATATATGAAATTATATTTTGCACATATTTGCTGTCTTTATTAGGGCTTCTATTGCTGTGAAGAAACACCATGACCATGGCAACTCTTTTTTGTTTGTTTTAGTTTGGTTTGGTTTTTTGGTTGTTTTTTTGAGACAGGGATATTCTGTGTAACAGCCCTAATTGTCCTGGAACTTTCTGTGTAGACCAGGCTGGCCTTGAACTCACAGAGGTCCACCTGTCTCTGCCTTCTGAGTGCTGGGATTAAAGGCATGTGCCACCACGGCAGCTCTTATAAAGGAAAACATTTAACTGGGGCTGGCTTACACTTCAGAGGTTCAGTCCATTATCATCATGGTGGACATGGTGGAGTGCAGGCAGATGTGGTGCTGGAGAACGAGCTGAGAGTTCTAGATATTAATATGCAGGCAACAGGAAGTGATCTGAGACGCTGGGCATGGCTTGAGCATATATGAGACCTCAAATCCCACCCCCATAGTGACACATTTCCTCCAACAAGGCCATATCTACTCCAACAAGGTCACACCACCTAATAGTGCCTTTAGGGACCTTTTTTTTTTTTTTTTTTTTTTTCAAAGCATCACATTCTACTCCCTGGCCCCCAAGGCTTGTAGCCATATCATAATGCAAAAATGAATTCAGTCCAACTTCAAAAATCTCCATGGCCTATAAGTCTCAAACTTACTTAAAAGTCTAAAGTTCAAAGTCTCTTCTGAGATTCATGCCATCTCTTAGCTATAATTCCTGTAAAATTAAAATAAAAAAACAGATCACGTACTTCCAACTTATACATTGGATATACATTACCATTCCAAAACATAAGGACTGAAGCATAGTGAGGAAATATTGGACCAAAGCAAGACCAAAAACCAGCTGGGAACTCCACACTCTGCATCCCCATGTCTGATGTTGAAACACTCTTCAGATCTCCAACTCTGTTTAGCTTTGTTGACTGCAACACACTTCTCTCTCTTGGCTGCTTCCACTCCTTGTTAGCAGCTCTCATGGGCAGGTAGCCCATGGCTCTGGCATCTCCAGCATCTTGGGGTCTCCAAGGCAATCCAGGCTTCGCCTTCACAGCTTTACACAATGGCCTCTCTGGGCCTCCATTCAGGGACACCCCTGACACATGCCTGGCCTCAGTGGCTTTCCTTAGTCAAGGAGGACTATCCCATAGCCCCTTTCTTCTATCCTTAAAGCCAGAACCACATGGCCAAAGCTGCCAAGTTCTGCTGGAAACTCGTTCAATTACTTCTTCACCAACTTTCTGTTTTCGATGGTTTCCTTCACTGTCCAAATTTGGCTGTCCTGGAACTTGCTCTATAGATCAGGCTGGCCTCAAACTCTGGGATCAACCTGCCTCTGTCTTCCAAGTGCTAGGATTAAAGGTATGGACACCTGGCTCTAAGCTTTTCTTCAGTTCCTTTTCACAAGTTGGAAACTTAGCTGGGTGGGATCTTGCCCTGAGGCCACCACTCCCTCTATTCCATTTCTTAATCCATTTATCTCCTTGAACACAGGATTTAGCTCTAGTCTACTTCCTGGTGCCCCCTTTCTCAATCTGTACATTTTGTATTTATATTTGCTCAGCTTGCTCCTTTTCATTATAAATCTTCCTTAGAGTTACCCCTAGTAACCATACAACAAAGTCTATACTAGGCTGTTTTGAGATTTCCTCTGCTAATGGAGGAAATTAACCCAACACTCTTCAGTTTGGCCTCAGGCAGACTCTTCGGACAAGGGCAAAAAGCAGCCACATTCTTCATCAAAACATCACAAGATCAGTCTCTAGGTCGCATATTAATATTCTTCTGCTCTGAAACCTCCTAAGCCAGATCCCCACAGTTCAAATCATTCCCAGCACCATTGCCTTCTATGCGTCTACTAGTACGATCCATT